AGCCGATGTCTTCGATACCTCGATCCCAAGTAAAACATGGGCGAACCGATTTGTGGGAAACGGGTGTTGCTGGAAACTAGGGGCCCGAAATGGAACCCTGGCAAGTGGACAAGTAGACGAACACTCCTGCCTGCGGTGCGATATCTCTTTGAGCAGCGCCCAGATGCTGGGATTCTGCAACATTCCCCATCCATTCAACCGAGTCCGAGGCCCTGGGTCAATCCCAACATGCGCTTGCCCGCAAGGGACATGGGAACAAATGTCCTTGTTCGTCTCGGCATGAGCTGATTCAATGAGTCGCCCATGGCCCGAAATTCAAGTTGATGGACTGAAGACTGAGCCCAGCACCCAGCATGAAGAAGGAGATCACCAGAGTCGTGGGCACCGTAAGCTCCTTGGATAACATGGACTGGCATCCCAGGTGCCCTGCCATGGGCTTTGTCCAGCACTTCCCGTGGCCCGCAAAAGACAAGCTGCGTGCGCAAGCTGGCGCTGCTGGGGAAGCTGGCGCTGCTGGGGACATGAGTTTTCGAGATCGGTTTCGTCTACGAAACAAAGCAGGGTCACCTGACCTGTTTCCGTCTGATACAGCTGACAACGCAATGCCGGGGCACAGGACCCAGGATTGGGAACAAGCCCAGCGGCAGCGCGTTGCACCACACGAAGAGGAAGCCTGCGCACCACTGGTGTGGCGATTTTGTCGGCTCGTGGCTTTCTGCCCCATGGAAGCGGTTGCACCCCTCGCAGATTGGGTGCCCCTGCGGCTGGTGAAGCGGCTGTACGGCGTGTAGATGGGCGTCCGCAAGATCTTCTCGCAGGCACCCAGCCTCGCATGACACGAACAGAAACATGCGTCCAAAGAACATCTCTGAGAGGTCAAGCCAACCGTTTTTTCCCATTTACTGGAAGCACAGAAAACAGGAGAACCTTCAAGTCCACACCGCTCCCCCTTGCAAAATCCACTTCTCTGCCACGCTTTGGGTCTACCTAGTCCTCGGGTCCTTACGCCTTGGTCTCTCAGCGAGCGGCACGTTGTGGAGGGCCGTCAGGGAGCGGTCCACCTCGTTGGCCGCCGGGGGCTCCAGGCCCCCGAGCTGGGCCACCGAGAAGACCTCGAGGTCTCGCGCAGTCGGTTTCCAGGGAAATCCGAGCCGACACCCCCACAGCTTGGATCCCGTGGTCAAGGTGTTTCCGGCCTCAGAAACACCTCTGGTCTTCCCCCCCCCCCCAAGTTTAGATCCCTGAATCTAGGCGCAGTTCTTGCTCTTTGCTGGGTCCAAATGGGGTTTGCTTTGCGGCTGTTTGCTTTCCTGGTTGCTGTGTTTGATGCTGGGGAGAACAACCATCAAACCACTGAGCAAGAACCCGTTTTTTCAACCTGTCCATTTTGGCGGAGCGCAGTCGAGCCACACTGCTGTTCAAGTGCTCCAGCTCATGCAGAATCTGCAGCGGCCGATTGGCCGCAGTGCTCGACAGGATACGGTCCTGGCGTTCGATCGAAGACTAAAGCAAACATCGCCCCCACCAAGCCACCAAGAGAAAGCTTGCCCAACTTGCTTATACCTTCCAACACGTGGAGTTGAACCTGGCCTAAGAAAAGGCGCCTCTGTACTGTTGGTCATCCTCGGCTCGAAAAGGTCTTAATCCAGTTCAAAATGGGTCCCCAATTTATTTCAGGAACAATATTTCCTCGCCTGCCCTTGCTATGAAGACACCTCTTTCGAACCTTGATGTTGACCCGGTCACGACCCCCATCAGGGCTTCCCTCGAAAGAAATCCCAAAACAGGGGATGTCCTGTTTGAAGCAGCATGGCCCCTCGGGGACCTTTTCCAATTACTTCACCCATCACTAGGTGGTTCTCGCTAAAATTCATAGCCATTCGGGGTTTATCGGGTTTTCCTGGGACGGGGTTGAGCCGTACAGACGTGCCCGCGCAAGGACCCCGGTGCTTTGGGTCGTACGTTTCCGGGGCCCCCGCCACGATGGCGCGCTCTTCCGCGCACTCGAGGCTCCAGATCCCGCCCAGCTCAGCCTACCCCGCCAAAGCTGAGCCCGGATCAAACCACTGCCACTTGACTGGCTCCCATTTTCCCAAGCGCCCGGGTTCCCCAAGAAATCGCCCCAAGAAAGGGCTAGATCGAATTCGCCGTTTCAAAAAAAAAACGGAGCGGCGCCTTGAAGGCCCTGGTGGTGGCCTTCCGCACATCCTCCTCCAAAACTTTCGCACCTGAGCTGGGCCGGGCTCCACGGAGAAAGATGTCCGATCCAGGACCATCAAAAAATGCCCCGCTTGAGATATCGGTTTCATCTTGGGTCCAAGAGTCCAACCCCTCCTCTTTGAGACTCCAAAAAGCAGACCACGAGACGCAAGAAAGAAATCGCTCTCAGTTCACGGACCCGACGGGCCCCGCACCCAGCTTGATGTGGGGGTTGCAGCCGTCCTCCGTGAGGTGGTACTTCAGCGCTACCGCGAAGCTGGTCAGAAGCTTCAGGGCGCGCTGCTGCCTTGCCAGCTTGGCTCGGGGATGGGACGTTCTGTACCTGCCCCTTGTTCCACAGAATCTGGGGAAAAACACATTCCCCAAACCAATCCAAAACACCAATTAGGGTGTTTCTCGAAATAGAGGACCCTGAGATGGTGTATATGGATAAATGTATATCATTGTATCGTTGAGAGTTGCTTGGGGCTGCAACACATGCTTCCTGGAGGTTGGCGAGGTGGGGGGCGGAAGGGGTCATGTTGCCGTGTTTCCCAAAGCGTTGGCCCAGCTAGGTGAACGTGAAACTATCAAGCGTGTGAACAAGTTCTCCCTGATTTCTGCAAGCAGCACGCTTGCCCAGCTTTCAGCAGTGAAGCTCTAGCCAAGTCAAAAAAAAAAAAAAGATTCTACAAAGTGGGTATTGACCTGCGTTCAACCCTTATCGATGGTATTCCGTAAATATAAACATTAATATTTCTATATATATATATATATATGTATACATGCACATATATATATATATATATATATGTATATATTTATTCGACCTTTTGTTTAGAAACCGAAAAGCCACAAGAGGCCCAGCGCATGTGTTCCGACTGAGCCCTGGGCGCGTTGAAGACCGGGGTGCACGCCGTGCCGCTGGCCCCCGGCACCCGCAGCAGCAGGCGGCTGCCCAAGGCCCGGGACTCCTCAAGTCGCGAACCGGTTCCACCGGATGGGAAGACAACGTCAAGCGGCGACCCCCCCCAAAAAAAAAAACATATATATATATATATATATATAGGGAAAACAAGTGGAAAAAAGAAGAAGAAAAACACGGTGACGTGTCGTGTGGTTCGAGGGTTATGAAGGCTTAGTTGGCTGTGTCTCTTGTCTTGTTAGGTTAAAAAAAAAAAAAAAAAAAAAAAAAACTGGTGGGATTGAAAGGGAAAGCCAGACGAGAATCACACTTGTCCTACACACAGGAAACGTGATATGATCGACCAAACCCAAGCTGACTCTTGGTTCACTGGTTACAAATTACTTTGTCTCAGGCTTTACTGCCCCTATGACACCAGGTTGAAGAACCACCTCCTCCACACATTTGCAAGCGAGATCGAAGCCCCCCCGAAGAGTGACCTGACTTGCTTTACTTGAATGCTTTCTGTAAGGCAATGCCATGAATTACGTTGAACCCTTGCTTGCATATCCCAAGAAGCCCGGAACGAAGGGACTGATTCCCCTGGATCTACAGAAAGTTCTGTCAGGATGGACAGAGTCAGATCACCGTCTGCCAAATGGCAGAATGAATTATGAAATGTACACCTGGCTGGCAGGGTCAGGCAAGCGAGGACGTTTCTTCCAGTGGGATGATGAACAGCAGCTGTGCATGTCTAAAATCTGGCAGATATAAGTTGCTCTATGAAACAAAATGCGATAGCTACACGTCTCTGACACCTGCAATATATAACTGTGGGCTCAAAAATCCGTGTTGTCATGTTTGCAGGGGTATTTTCCATGAGCGGTTTTCATAGCTCTCTTAATGGTGCCTTGGAACACCTCAAATTGTGAACTGGAAAGCTTTCCGTCTATACTGAAAGTTCCGGAGGATGCGCATTCGGGGTTCGTGACAACTCCAACCAACGAAACACCAAAGTCATGCACCAAATTTGCTTAGTTCCAGAGGGTCCCTTCCGACCTTCTACGGTAGATGTAGTGCTTTGCGTGCCCAATACTCACATCCGCTCTAATTGGTATTTCGGAATTGGCGTTGGCAGGTTAGGAGGCGACTTCCCATGAACCTTCGACAAGAACCAAAAAGTGAAATCCCCAAACCAACCCAAAGCACCAACGAGCGCGTAGAAACGATTCCTCGTCCCCGCAGGATCGCATGTCACACCGAGGCGCACGCAGCAGGTGCTCCCATAGTCTGCGGCCCTCGATAAAGCGATCATACCTCAAGTTGGCTCGGTGTAGCTTAAAAGACGCACCAAAAATGGCCGGATCTTGGCTTTCCCTTTGGGTTCCATAAAACACACCAAAGCGGGTACCCAGAGAAAAGGACAGACCCATATAGAAATAGAGAATTGTAGCAACGCATGCAATAAGTCGATTCATTCTAGACATTTGATTACAGGCCAATAAAAGAAATTGGGCCTCTTTTTGGACCGTCCAAAGGGTCCATCATGTTCGCAAGTCCAGTTGGGATACTCCCGGGCATGGCCCATCTTGCATACACAAGCAGAAAAAGCGCTGTGCAACAGTACGGTTGCTGCTGTTCTTGGACTTGCTCCCTGGGATGGTGGAACCCTGAAATAATTTTGGTGACAGCCAGCGATTTCGGAACGACAGCTTCGAAATGTTAAGCCTTGGATCAGATCATAGATCTGGGATCCATTTACCCATCCGAGGTTCCAGGCAAATCTTGGATATGGGTCTTGAGCCTTGGAAACTGTGTTATCACTGAGCTTGTTGTGGCTCCTGCCAACATTCATTGGCCCTGGAGATGTTCTGACTCCAGTGAACTTGAGTCGACTTCAGTCATGATGACTTGGCTGTTGACACCTTGAAGAACCAGTGGATTTGGAGCCATTGTCCATGCACGTGTGGGTCACCAAGTGCTACAGCCAGTGGCCACTTCACACCGTCGGCTAGTTTACTCACCGCAGTTGAGAAAGCATGGATGCAATTTCTGCAAGCGTCATCGACGTCCCCCGGTTCAGACATGGAGCTCTTTCTTGCCACCATTTCACGATCCAAGTTGCCCGCTCTGGGTCTTGAAGGTGATCAAAAGGCCCAACGCAAAGGAAGGCATCGTCACTGTAACCTGGGCTGAAAAGAGAGGACCATCCCCAACTTCATCATCAGACTCGTGGGCTCATGTGCCGCCCGTCTGAAGTCACATCCGACAGATTCCACGCGCAAAAAGACGTGACGCGCGCCAAGCGACCAGCGGCAGAGACATCAACCCCAGGCCGCAGGCAGCCAAATGCACCTCGGCGAGCCAACACCCAGCCTCTACTTTTGGGATATGAAATATGGTTGTGTTTTGTTCTTGGCGTTACCGGTTGAAGATACGTTAAATGGAAGACAAAAGAACAACTCCTCAATTTGTGGGGTCCCCCCTGCCTAATCCTGACGCAAACCTTGTCTATATTATATGTACATATATATATATATAGTACATCGTACCCAACCCCCTAAGCAGCAAAAGAAAGCGCATTTACAAAGACAATCTGAAAGCTTTAGGTCAAACTTTTCCAGGGAATCTTGAGTAAGTCGGTCCTATTCCACAGCTGACGCTTTGTCAAAAGATGCAAAACAACAGCTATGTTGGAGCCATTGGCCCAAAAGTGCGTAAAGAAGTAAAATTTTAGAGCCAATGACCCAAAAGGAAAAAGTACAAAGAGCAAAAACAGGAAAATGCAAAAATGCAAAATTATGGAGCCAATGACCCAAAAGTAGAAAGTAAAAATGTGAAAAGAAAATTGAAAATAAACACACAAAAAAGAAAAAGTTAAAAAGAAAGTGACAAATACTTCGCTTCGAGCAATCCCCACCCTCCACACTCACGAGCTTACGACCGTTACAACAAACTCCTCCGCATCACCAGAGACTTCGACTCCAAATTCCCATCGGCCCTTTTGGACACTAAGCAAAACCAGACTAGCGAGCTAGTCTGGCGGGATACTGGCAGGATCCACTGGCGAATACTGGCGGGCCGCTCCGGCTCGATACTGGCCGGATACTCGGCAGGATCCACCAGCAAGGGATACTCAGCGGATACTCGGCGGGATCCCCTGGCGAGCTACTCTAAGGATACTCAGCGGGATACTCGGCGGATCCACCGGCGGGCTGCTCTGGTGGGATACTTGGCGGATATACTGGCGAGCTACTCTGGCGGGACTTGGAGGGATCCACTGGCTCGCCGCTCCGGTGGGATACTCAGCGACATTCACTGGCGAGCCGCTCTGGCGGGATACTCGGCGGGATCCACTGGCCAGCTGCTCTGGCTGGATACTGGGCGGGATCCACTGGCCAGCTGCTCTGGCGTGATACTCGGCGGGATCCACTGACAACCAGAAGCATTGCAAACGCGGATTCCAACATAAAATCTACCAACCCCTTCCTGTCGGGTGGGGAAAAATGGTGAAAACGTAGAAAAGTAAAAAAGTGCAAAAGTGCAAAAGTGCAAAAGCAAAAAATAAAAATAAAAAGAGCCCGTGGTCCTGAAGTAGTGAACTGCTCTGACCATGGGCTGAAATATTTTACTTTTACTTGTTTCCTTGTTTATTGTTTTTGTTTGGTTGTTTCCCGCTTTTTCACTTTTTTCTGCTTTATGTTTTGTTTGTTTTGTACTTTTGGGCTTATTGGCTGTTTTACGTGTTTTGCTTTGTTTTCTGATTTTGGGTCATTGGCTCCAGACATTTTTTTACTTCTTTACTTTTTTACTTTGAGTCTCTGGCTCCAGACATTTACTTTATTTTCTCTTGGGTCATTGGCTCCACACTTCTTTTTTTAACACTTCTGCGTCATTCGCTCCGGAACTTTACGCTTGTACTTTTGGGCTATTGGCTTCATAATTTTACTTGTATATGTTGACCTTTCCAAGCTGCTGGTTTGCATCTTCTGACCAGACCTGAGCTTAGAATGGACAGGTTTTAGGGCAAAGGGTTTGGGGGTTTATTGATTCGCGATTGTAGGAATCTGACTTATTCCTCGTAATTGGTTGTTCAATGAATTTCATTGGACACATGCTTGTTTGATCAAGAAACACGTTATTTCCTTTTTTTAGTGTTTTTCTTGCTTGGAATTCAAAGTATTCGATAAGGATTAAACGTCAATTAGAATTCTTGGATTGTGTTTGTTCAGCTTGTTCATTAGAATTTACACGGAACTCAATAAGGAACACACCCTAGTAGAGCTTCTAGTTTAGAGAGAATCTAAATAGGATTTCCCTGTCGAACTAGATGTGTAGTCAAGGTCTTCTTTGAACCTGGATGTTCAAACGGGTTGATTTGTTGGCATATGTTCAATAGAGTTCAATAAGTACATAATTGTACTAGAATGTCTAGCTTTGAAGACAGTTTACATAGTGACATAGTGACATAGTGTGTGTGTGTGTGTGTGTTCTTTCATTAAACGTGTTAGTTAAAATAGATGTTCAAAATGATGTATGTCCATCATGATTTGTTCAATTTTCTAATTAGACCGTAAATAGAAATTGAAAGTGAACAACACCTAATATTATGTCTAGACTTAAAGATGAATTGAAAAGATTTTCCATTTTGAAGAACATTGTTAATTGGGATTCTTACTTCAAAACATGTTTTAAAGAGAGCGTCCTTTCCCGGGACATTGTTTCTCCACTTTCTAGTTAGAATTTGCTGGAATCTAATCAGAAAATAACTATGGTAGAATCTCCAGCTTTAAAGATACTTTAAGTAGGATTTCCATTTCAATGAAAACACAAAATTGGAGTTGTTATTCCAAATTAGATGTTGAAGAGGGTTTCCTTGCTTAGGGTGAGCTGATACTGGTCAAGTCGCATGGGGCATTCCAAATAAAACAACTCCATTCCATCTCGGAAGTTTCCTTCAACCAGCAAAAAGGTAGATCCATCGGGGGGGATGAGCATATATATATATATATATGTATATCCAGAATATCATATCGTATATACCTAGTATGTTCTTTTCCTTCCAAGCTCACCCGCGGTCTCGATCCACGTGAGCTCCGGGCGTTGTACAGACAGAGGAGGCCGCTGCCGAGGCCCAGCCACGCCAAGTCGGGGAACAGCAGGCGCCGCAGCAGGTCCCACCTGACCGCCGCTGACTATCCATGACATGGCAACCGAGCGCTCGGGCTTTTTTTTGTTCGAGTTTCGGTCGGCGTCTGTGTGTGTGTGTGTGACCATTGCCGCAAAAAAAGTGCGAGGAAGAAAAAGAGAAAGAAAGAAAGAAAGAAAGAAAGAAAGAAAGAAAGAAAGAAAGAAAGAAAGAAAGAAAGAAAAAAGGAAAAAAGAGAGAAACAAAGAAAGTGCCATAGACATCCACACCCAGTGTCCACTTTCGCGCCTGAAAATATTGCGGAGAGACCACAGTTGCAGGTGCCTTGAAGCAACCTGGCCAAGCAGAGGTTCCCTCTGCGACGTGTCGCAGATCCACAAAATATGGTACTGGAGTATGCTGCAATCCAAGCTCAGCTTTTCTCCAATTGGTGGTTTGGATTCGCGGTTTGGTGACTAGGGGCTTCCCATTTACCCTGGGCTTCAAAATCCAAACCACCGACCTGATGGGTTTGACAAGACGCACATTCAAAAAGCAACACACTCTCCGCGCTGGCGGCCAACAAATCTCTCCTGATGCTTCCGCCAGCGGCGAAAGTCGTAGTTCACGTCGATGGGGGTGCCGCGCATCCAGCGCGTCAGCGCGTTGCCCCCTCTCGACACTCACCCCAAACATCGGGGTAAGGGGCACACGGCAACCAGCTGCTTTCGTGGATTGCATCTGGAAATGGAACGGCAAACTTGGGCCGGGCCTATCTTAAATGAAACAAACAGCAAGCCATCCTTCGCTCGACAGAGTACTGAAGGATTCTTCCAACGGTGGGGTGCAGCATGGGCAACGGGCCCGAAAGAAGAAGCCCCACCAAAGGTGCGGGAAATTTCGCAATAAGGGCCATCCCTCGCAGCTTACACGCGTCATTCGGCAAATCAGAGAAAGTTGACTCCGCAACGCCCAAAATCCCACCATGACATGCTTTACAACCAAAAAGCAGTGGTACATTCAAGAGGGGTTTGGCACATGTGTCTTAACATAGGGAACCCCAATTCCCACATGTTTCTCAGGGTACCCGCAGAGACGGACATGGGGCCTTGCTCCCGGCAGTAGTCGATGGACATGGCCCTTCTCGATGCCTCCGCCAGGTGCTGCTGAGACGCCAGGTCCTTCGCAACGCCCGAACATGGCTGAAACACCGTGGAAAAACATGAAATGTGCGGGCATAGGCCCCCTAAATGGAACCGGCTGCAAGGCCTGTTCAGAAGCTGCTCTGGATAGAGAATCTCAGAACCTCTTGGCAACCACTTCAAGAAGACAAAACACAAATCCAAAATGCAGGGGAGGTCCTTAAGCGGAAACCAAAAGGAAATCAACCTGTTTAAGGAGCTCCCTATTTCAAGAAACACCGTGAGCCCCGAAAAGCTGAGCGCGACATTTCACTGAAACCGACCTCCTCTGCGCCATCACCCCGGCGCAAGCGAAGTCGCGTGCGCAGGGAGCCTGCCCGAAGTCGTGTGAAGCCAAATTAGCGAACAAGTTCACCCCAGACATGGCCGCCATCTGGAATGGGTGGGGGGTTCGGCGCCTTGGGAAGAGAAGCAACGGCACGGCCGCACCATGAGAGCTTTGCGCATGGCGCACGTAGTTATTCGCTTTGGGCTTCGGCTTTTGCCCTGCGGGCCTTGTGCTCCCTTCATGAGACACTCTGAAGCTGCGAATGCGCTCGTGCTTGAATGCAGCATGTCCAGACTCTTGCATGTGCTGCAAACTGCGCAAAGCACACATGACCAATGGCTGTGCATGTTGAAAGGCAGGCTATTCCCAACTAGCATTCTGGTGAGCAGGTCCCTGGTCAGTTGCACAGAAATGGTATCATCCTAGTCGCAGCAAGCGCTTCTCGATCTCGGCACTCCGCCCCTTGTTGCCTGGCATTGGCGTGGGACAGAAGACACTCAGACTGTGAAGCTTGCGCTATGCTCTGAACATCTTCCCACCGCACGCACCGCACGGTGCAAGAAAACGGCACACTCGCAATGCGCAAAGAAGCTGTCACGGCAAGTCGTTGCAACCACGAGGCCAGGGTACTACCTTTTGACGCGTCAAACACGTGTAAGCACGGCCAGCTCAAAGTATAAAGCCACAGTGCGAGTGCGCTCATTCCTTTCCCCACAGGACTTCTGCACTGGGCATGTGTCAATCCCTCCCTGTCCCTCCCCCACACAACCCCCGCACCCTTCGCTCGTTTTGCCAGGAGATATATTCATTTGATACTTGATACTTGACATCGCGCAAAGGCGAGCACGAAGCCCAACATGTAACTGTGTTGAGCATGCCAACACGAGCAACCCCACGGCGAAACGCGTCTGCCCAGATGATGGGCCCTTGCGTGGGAAAATGTGGGGCCGGGCTTCGCTCAGCCTTCAAAATCTTCATAAGAGCCAGGCTCCAGCATCTCGACCTCTTGAGGATAGAGACACCGGAGTAGGAACTCTCTGGCTTCGGAGTGCCGCAGCCAAAGCAGCTGCTGCTGCTGGAGCTGCTGTTGTTGAAACTGCTGCAAAGCCTCCAAGTGCCTGGTCGCCAGCGATGAGAGATGCTGCTGGTGTTCGCATCTTTGCATCAGCCTCCCATAGGCTGCACTGATCTCCTGATAGTGCCGCCGGTGCATCCGCTGCAGCTCCTCATTGAGCTGCAGCTCCTGCCACCGCCACATCCGCTCCAAGCTCCGGAGTGCATCCGCAGAAGAGGTTCCACAACCAAGCCCCAAAGGCGGCTCAGGCGGGGGGAAAGGGGCCCTCCAGCGGGATGTCGATGTCCTCGGCCGCTCCATGGGCGGAGAGCTAGCAACAAGTCTCTGAGACACGCTTGTTCGACAAATGAATCAAGGTGCAGTCGGTTTGCTTTGCTTTGCTTGCTCATTGAGGCGCCCTCGGGCAAGTGGAAATGATGGCGTGAAGATGCAGCCAGCTAGAGCCCTGGCAGCGGACATCGCCCCGGCGACGAATCACATATTGCAAAGACACCAAAGTTCAAAAGGGGCATCTATTTTGGTCAAGTCATGCCCCAACTCTGCAAGCTTACTTGTTGCCCGCTTCAGGTTCGACTTGGCTTTCTCCTCGCCACACGAAGCCTCGCAAATCAGGCACGAGTGCTCCTAGGCTTTGCAAATGCCTCACATTCACCCCATTGCAGAAGATTCCATGGATCTTTCAGATTTCATTTGACTGTGAGCTTCAAACACCAAGAGTAATTGTAGGGACCTGACGTCTGGGGGTTGGTGGGATGCCGGTTTAAGAGAATCGATGAGGTTTTTGCATGGTGTTAGCTTAAAGCTCCAGTCTCCGAGGTGCTTGTTTTCTGCGGGCAATAGGTTTGACTACTATGTGCACGTGTCCGTTGTCCGTCCTCTTCGTGTCCTTCTGCCCTCCGATGCCCCATTCCCATCCTCTTCGTGTCGGTGTATCTTCCTCTTCCCATCCTGTTGCCGTCCCTTCGTGTCCTCTTCCGTCGCATTCGAGCAAACAACCCCTTCATGCAGGAAGTTGCGCACAGGCCCGCTGGACAAGGTAAACAGGCATGTTCCCATTTAATTCGTCGTTGCACGTGAAGCAGTGAATCAGATTTCAACCCTCACCATCCGTTAAGCACTGCAAACACATGGCTAATCTTCGCAGCCATCCCAAAGTGAAGCGGAGCAAATCTGAGTTTAAATCGGAGCAAATCTGGACTAGAAGAGCCACTGACGGAACAGGGCAGCAAGGATGGAAAAAAGCAACAGGGGGATCAAAAATGATCAGCAGAGTTAGTTGCTAACCAACATGGCACGCGACAACTTAGAGTTCAACCCTGAACAGCAAGTAGTAAACACCAGGCCAAACTCACCGTCTCACATATACGTGGGACTTGGCTTAAGCCGGACACTCCCTCCACCCCTCTCAACTCCCTGCATGCGCCTCGCAATATGGCAACAGCTCAGAGGCTCTCTCGCATGTCTCAACCTTTTTGAGTCCCATGGGTTCCCTTTGGTCCCTTTGTTGCCCTTTGTTTCCCTCTGTTTCCACGTGTTCCCTTTCTGTCGCTTGCTTTGCCCTCATGGTTGTTGCGCTCTTGTTTGCGCTTGCTCTGCTTTCTTGCTCAAGCCGAAAAAGCATCCACGGGTGCTCCCTGTAAACTGTGTCGTCCCCCCTGAGCTGCACTGACGTGCAACCGACAGCTGACCGCAATCTTTGCACGCGTGTCTGAGAATTGGAACTGACGAGCAAAGGTGGGGCCTACCCCTGCCGCTAGCCACATTCGCCATCGAAGGGCCTGACCCCTCTGTCTGCGCTCGTGCTGCCCGGATCCCTGAAATGCGGCGATCGATGGATCTCTCAATGGCGCATTGATTTTGCTGTTTTGTGTGTGTGTGTGTCTGCTGAAAGACACTAGGGTGTACCAACTTTGGACGCCACGCCACGTTTCCGGGGTTCTGAGATGGCACCCACTGCGAGAGATGCCCCCAACGGGCAACTTGACGAAGCAAGTATCAACCTCTCACTGCCCGCAGGCTCTGCCTCGGGCTAAGTGGATGCAACTCCGTGCAACTCACACTTGCAGAAAGGAACGGATGGAAGAACTGTGAGGACAGCAGCAAATCCGGCCAAGGTGAAGAAACTCCAACCCGTAGCTCTTCGGTATAAAAAGACGTATCCAAAAGCTTTACAACCCCGGCCATCGTGCACTGCCCAGCGTGACGCGGCACGCCGAATCCACTTTCAAGACACTGTGAAATTCCACGTAGTGGCATGTGTCACGCGGTCTGCATCGCAGAGCCTCAAGAGTTCGGCCGGGTGACAAGGGCCAAGCAAGTGAATTCCAAGCGGACCCCCATGGGCGGGCGAAGGGTCGCCCCCGCTTGACCAAAGTGCAAAGACGGTCGAAATGAGCCTTGGCTTGCTCTTGTTTCCGGTCCTTGCACCATTGTGAAAAAGTGCAGCATAGGCACCATGCATGTTGCAACCAGCTGCACGGACCTGCAAAATCATGGGCTTGCACCATAGCTTCAAGGGGATCTATGATCCAGAGCAGGTCAGGTTTAGCCTTGGTTCAAAGCTTAGGCCCTCTGCATGGATTTCGGGGGTTTAAACTGCGAATCGGATACATTTCTCCGGTCCGCTGGTTGCGGTACTCGCTCGGTCTGTCAAGTCCGACCACATTTTGGTCGACACGCTGGCGCCTTGTTCCAGCCGTAGGCTGTGCCCAGCAAAAACAACTAGTTGTGCCTGCCAAAAAAAAAGGCGTTCGTCCAGATGATCATAAACTGCCGGGCAAACCTCTCTGTAAAAGAAACAGGAGTGAATCTAGAAATGCAAGGAGGACTCCTGTACGTCCACCAATCCGCATTGGGCGATGAACAGATTCCACGACACCAAAGCTTAGCCTGGCCCGGGGCCCGGTACATCGCCTGGCAAGCTGCAAGCTTCCAAACCCAGTGGAAAATTTGGGGCGTCTTCCCATACTGGCTGGGGCCATGGAATAGGGGTCCTTTTTGGAAATTGGTTAAGCCTGGTAGATGATTGAACCACCAAGTAAACCAGGGCCTTCTGTTTCTTTCGCAAACCAACCAAAAGGACACCCATGGCCATGGCTAAATAAAGAGCCCAAGCTGGGGCTCCGACGAGAGCAAAAGCTTCTCGTAAGAGCCGGCCGGCGACGCCTCAATTCACCATCGACCACCTGCCACAAGCATGCTGGCGCAGAAACTGCGCGGATGAGTAATGCGCATGTAAAGAAGGCTTAAAAAAATAAGTCAACGAAACCGCAAGCAATCTCGCGGGCTGCGCTCGTCGAGGGACAGCGACTCCATTGAGCCGCTGCGGCGCCTAGCTCACGCATAGATCGCATAGCCGGAAAGCTCATGGCCTCTCAGCTCCCAGCCTTGGGAGCTCAGACTTGTCCGCCGAATCCGCCTGGCATCGGAGTCCGGAAGTCCGGAATTGTGCGGTACCCGCCATTCACTGCCTCGCTCTCGCAGGTTGACATGCTGGAGGACGAGTGACAATGCTCCATCGGCCTGACATTTCGTGGCATTCACGCGAGAGAATGCGAGTTCCGGAAGGAACTGCTTCGGCCCCGACTTTGCGAAGCTTTGCCGAAGCTCCTGGAATTCGCACAAGGTACGTAGGATGCAATGAGAACCTCATGATCCAAATTTGTGACTTGAGATGCGTGTGAGAAGCTCCTGTAGCTCCCCTTGAAGCTCGTTTGCCTCAAGCTCGAAAAAAGCCGCAGCGCGTCGGTGTTGAGGGACCTCTCTTGGATGAATATGGATGAAGGAGAAACAAGGACCTCTTCATGGTTTTTGAGCGAAGCCAAAAGGACAACCACCGTTTTGGGGCCGAAAGCAGAGACCAAAGCCCTTGGTTCTGGGGAACCTGGGCGCAAGGCTACCTTCAGGTAGTGGGCCAACAAAGCTCGCTCTCCTCCAGCCTCGATCTTTTTCTCGCCGAGACGTCCAACGGAAGTTTCCCCGACCAAAATCCAACGGCATCCCTTTGTAACACCGAAAGGTGGGGCAAACGCCAGGCAACTTAGCGTCCAAAGTCTGTGCAGGTCAAAAACATGATCAAAACCGTGGGTGTTGAAGCGTCCTTCGGTTGCGCGGGAATGATATGAATCTACCCTGTTGCACAAGAACCTGTTAGGTTTTGTCCGCAAGACTCGGCGCCTCAACTCGCGACAGCAGCGCATTGATCTGCCGGCACTTTGCTCGGAGCACCTGGCCAGGAATGGCCATGTAAGAGTTGCGAGTGTCCAGAGATGTGCTGCCTGTTGGCTAGGCCTCACTGTCATACAGAATAAAGAGGGAGAAGAAAAAAAACACGGTTTAATTAGAAAAAAAGAGCTCAGAGGTATGACGAACCCTCCCTGCCTCTTGCGCAGGAATTTCAATCACCGCCGCAGTGGTGACGTCGTAGTCGTCTGATTCCGCATGATAACCTGAGGTTATTTGGAACCGGGTCCCGCCCCTTGCTTAGGATGCCAAAGTCGCTTTTGGGTTAGTCTTCAAGCTCAGAGCAACGAAGAAATCCCAAAGCCGACCCTGAACCTGTACCTCAGGCCCACGCGCTTAACAGGTGTTAGCCTCGGCACCAACCCTTCCAATAGCTGACAGATGTGCTCTTGGAAGGAGTCCTCTCCCCTCTCCCCCTCCATCCACTCTGGGAAAAGAGCACCGTGCCGTGCAGTGACACATAGTTGTCATTTGAAGTTCAGAAGCCTCCCGCGAGTCTCTCGCACTTCTTCCGGACAAGCTGTCTCATGCCCGTCGCCGAAATGCACCCTGGGTGGCCGGGCGGAGCATGCTTCACCTGGCACGCACAATGTTCTTTCGCCAAGAGGAACATTGACCAGTTGCGTCTCACAACAACCAGTTTGCAGGAGAATCAAGAAGACGACTAGTCCCTCCCACAACGAAAACACAAACTATCAGGTTTTGTCTTCCCGGGAAGCTACGGTAGCCCCTTTTTGTTTGACCCGTTTGGGGACGGAAACCACCAGGAAGAACTCCCCCCGTGTGGGGCTCGTTTCAAGGACACCTGTCTCCATTTCGCCCCAACCGCCTCGACCTTTCGCCCGGCATCGGGCCTCGGCCTGCGCGCGACGGAAGATTAGCCGCGTCACCTGGCGCTGCGCGGGGATGGCCGTCGCAAGCTTTGGGAAGCCTCGAGGACGGGGCCCCGGTGAACAAAGAAGCTTTTGGAAGCCGTTTTCAACAATCTTTGGCTCGCATGCAAAAAGACTGAGAAACTCTGAGAGGCGCGGAACTCGGAATTCGCATCGCCCTGCCTGCTGCACCATCTCTGGCACACTCCATGGCAAACACACCATGGTACAAAAGCCGGCAGTGCTAGTCTTCTGAGCTCCCGTCTGCGGCACAGGCTTCCGAAACTCTCCAAAATGCTCATGTCAACCTTGAATGTACACTATGCTGAACAGAAGGAGAAAAAAGAACGAAGAAGCTCTTTTCCCCCGGCTGGCTGCTCCACCACCACCACAAACCGCATCGCGGGATGAGAGGGGAGCTCCCGTGTTTCATAGAAGGGGTTCTCAAAGACTTCCACTGATCCGTTGGCCTGGTACATGTTGATCATGTTGACCAGCGTCTCCTTTTCCTGAAGTCCGGGGAAAGAAACGAGCCTTTCGAAAGCCTCGCCAGCTTTCACTGGCTGTGGCTCAAAAAAATGGTACCAAAACCCCTGGTAAGTGGAAACATGGACAAAAATCAGGGTAACCCCTCCTGCTTAATTTTGAGCCACCCCCAACTGAACCTGGAGACGCTACTTGCCGAGGCTCTTCTTTGTAGAAGGTCGCAAACACGCAAAGCTTGCAGCACCGCAGCAAGGACCCGATGATCCCTCGGATCGGGGCAAACCGAGAAAAGTGCACTGGCGCTGCGTGACTCAACTTTGGCAAGCTATCTCTTGTCAGACAAGTTTGCGGACCCAACTAGTTCGAGCTTGCGATCAGCCAACTCGCTGCAGCCGTGCTTCTGAACCAAGGCCCGCCCTTTGTGACCTCGCAGCGAAATTGTGCAACGTTCAAGTTCCTGGCACCTACGCTTGTCACAACGGGCCCTTGAAAATCTGGGCCTTGGGAGCCAGAAGAAACCTGCTTCCTGCACTGCCCACTCCTTTTTGTGTTCTCCCAAAATCGAAAGAGAACCAGTTTCAACCCGACTGACCCACTGGCCCACCACTCCTCCGGGTGGATGCCGATGGCCAGATCCGCAGATGGCAGCGGGTCCTGTGCCAGGTCCCCTGCCTCGATGCAGCAGCGGATGCCTCGCACCTTCTTCAGCCACCGCTGGGCCTTGGCCCAGTCCACCAAATAGTCGTCGTACAGCTCCTCAGATTGGAACTCGCGATCGATCAAAAGTCTGGGGTTAAAAAAAGCTTGAAGCAGATCCAGTGGAATTATGTGGGACGATTCAAAGAACGGAGCAATGAAACAAGACTCTCTATGTCTATACAAGGCAAGTCGACGCTCTGTTGTTGTTGTTTCTGCGGAAAATAGAAGAAACACAAACAGTTCAATGTTTCTTCCTGGCAGACAGACGGTGAGTCTCATGAACCAGAGATTTCCATGAGTCACAGAGAACAGCGGAAGACTTGCAAAATAAAAGCCTCGTGTTTTGGACGGACTGGTGACTCACAAAGAACCGATCATATCTTTCAGACGTGGCCTAGTCCAGCTTGGAGTCGGAGCTGCATCAATCTACTGATTCTCGCTTGTTTCAGGTTTGGAGCGGAAGCCAACAGTTAGTTGTCTTGGCTGGAAACGAGCGTCCATGCCGAAAACCGACACGTCGCTAGGGAAGTTCTCCGACAGGAAGTTGCCCAGAGCAACATACTCGTGAAAGTGTCCGCAGAATGGGACGCTCACATTGAGGTTGCGCGGGAGACGGTCGATATAGCCCTTGTCTTTCAAAGCATCCAGAATGTGTTGGTATTGGGCCGTGGTCCATTCAGGCTGAAACGGCGTGGGGGTAAATAAAGGCAGCGCAGCACAGCGGTCAAAGGCCCATTCGCCGTCTGGCTGCCGCCTCAGTGTAACCACGTCATGCTCCGACACGCCCTCAGGCACCGCGAAGGACAGGCTCACCTGCTCAGCCAGCGTCAAGGTCAAAGAATCCCCCGGCGAGCAGTCCGGCACTACAAAGGAGAACTCGTCCCGTCTGCGGACGATCTTCCAGCTGTCATCCGTCCGCTGGAACAAGCAAAGGGTATCACCCTCGGCGCACCGCTCTGGGAGAGGGACTTCCAACTTGCCGTCTGGCACGGGAACCTGCAGCATAATGTTACCTCCGCCGCTCCAACAACTCGGGCTGTTTCCTTAAAAAAATATTTATAGCTAGCACGAACCCAAGTAACACTGGAAACAATGAAAAAAAAAACTTGGAAAAGCTGGAAAAACCTTGTAAAGCTTGCAAAGGGACTTCCAGCATCCGTCGAGATCTGCGGCACCTGGAATTCAATCCGCCGGCCATTGAAGGGCAACCACTGAGGGAATCCCTGCCATCGCGTGTCGCAATCCTTCTCCTAGGCAGACGTCAAGCAAAAACCCCGTGCCATGACTGCTCTCTCTCTCTCTCTCTTTCTCTTTCTGCCTGCTGAGTTGATGTGGGGATGATGACACATTGCTAGTGTTGGCTTGTCTGATTACTTGGTGGGGACAGCCAAAGGAGAATCGAAGAAGGCTTCTTCCCTAGCCGCCTAGCGACAGCCAAAGGAGAATCGAAGAAGGCTTCTTCCCTAGCCGCCTAGCCGGGGCTCCGTGAGGACGCACACGGGCACGCCGATCTCCTTTGTCACGTAGCAGTACTCCACTTGGTCGGCGCTGGGACTCTCATGGCTCATCGGAAGCAAAGAAATCAGTGCGCAAGTCCTCTCACGCCCCGCTGGGAACGCGACTTCTGTCAAAGTCTACTTCCTGCTCGGAGATGAGTTTCTAGGGAAATGCCTCTCTCTTGGCGGCCTTGTGCCATGCAACAACTCCGGTCACTTAAGCCCAATACAAAGCTGGCACCGACCGGCAAAAGAATGCTGAACGCGGCGGCCTCCCCACGCGTTTCTTGCAGAATCTTGTGGGGTTTCTTCCTTGTTCCTGTTTAGAGGGCTGGGGATGGTGGACGCGTATGTTAGGATTGTTTTTTGATTTCATATATATATATATATTGATTTATTTCTATGTATATAGTTTGCAGTGGTTTTGGCTATGCGACACCCCACTGTGGGCCCATCGCTTTCTGGCAGAACTACTGGCCCCCGACGGACGTTATGAAGCGTCTGGAAGATGATTCGCCAGCCATCGATGGCCACTTCTTTGGCCATGGACTGGGCCGCTTCTTTGGCCATGGACTGTTGCTCCTTCGCTTCTCGACTGGGCTCAATGAATCTAGTAACAAATCTTCGAAGAAGCTGACGGCGGGTTGGGGGACAGTACCGTCGCAGCCCAACTGGGACTTCGCCCCTCATGCCATCCTCAACTCCCTGCCGGATGTGATCCCGGACTGTGGCTGCATTCTCCAAAGGAATGATGGACTTTTGGCTTACGGGCCAATGTTGCTTCCCAGTCCAAGCTTACCCGCGCGGTTGACGGCCTTTTCCCGTGACCGAGCCTTCCCCTACCAGGTGGTTCGCATCAACGAATGGCTTGTCTCAGTTCATCGAGGATCCTGTCCCACCTGCCGCTCCGCCTGTCACGCGTGGAGGGAAAATGAGCGACGTCTCCATGGGGGAGCCGAGGCGCGCACACTCGACAAGCCTTTCTTTTTCACTCCGCGCGGCCATTCGCGATCACGCAGGTCCGCAATTTCAGCGCCAAGATACAAAATGGAAGATACAGAGTCGACGAATCACAAACACAACAAGGAAAAAACAACCAAAAAGGGATAACACAACACAAGCAAAACACCGAATCGTCGCTGTACTACGATCACGGCTTAGTGTACAGGGAAACGGGAGCCTCAACCTGGAGATCCTAGAACAACAGCAAAGAGGAAGATCCTAAAAGATCCGAAAGGTGCTCAAACGGAAGTTAAATAACACCACGCTCACTCATCTGTACGGCAATAACTGGGACTCATCACCGCCAAGTCATGGAAAGCGAATCAAAAACACGAAATGTTCATACCTCTGCCAAAAAATAAGACGTTCCCAACCAAGAATGGCAAGCAGAGCAAATGCCCTGTGCGTGAATGAAGCCAAGCACATAGACACACCACAAAAAAAAATCACCTGCCGAACAAACCCGGAATCCGAAGCAGGAAAGTAGGTTCGCACTGCATGTCTACAGAACCAGGACCTTACAGAGGCCCATGCAGAGTACACTATTGTTTCCGGCAAAGCCAGAAATCAGCAAATGGTGATCGCACGACCCACTTTAAATATATAAATATATAAATATAAATATATATATATATACAGCGCCGTGCGCACTTGCTGAAAAACATTGGGTATAGAGTAGAAGAAATCGGCAAGATCGCCAGACCTGAAGCTGTATTAACCAGCGCGATGGGCAAAAACAGCTTAGTGTAAGGCAACCTCGATCTTGTAGGTCCGACCAAAGATAAACCCGATAGCGTCGGCACCAAAGATTCTCCGGGTTGCCGCGCACTGAATAAAGTCAACAACGAAGACAGGGCGGTGAAGACAATACAAACTGCCGCCTTCAAACCCAACGGCAAGCCTTTCACAAAAAAATGGAAGTTTTGAGCAACCCGGGACAGCAGCATAGTTTAGCATTAACTGCAATAGTCAGCAAATACATGGAGAAACAACTGAAGAAATGATTGTTTTAAACGGTTCAATAGCAAACTGGCAAGAGAGATCCGTGCACTTGAGTTAAGTCGGTGTTACCATTTTGGCAGGCGTGCGTACAGTGCTGGGCGGTGCTCTACACACCGTTTAATAATCATCACAAGAAACAACCGACATCTGTAAATCAGCCTTTAAACAGAAATTATTTTACACGATTTCTGCCACGCACTTGGGGCGCCACGGAGAATGCAAAGTCAAAGCGGTTGTGGGGCCAAAAGTCCTTCGGTTTCGCAAATTACCCAATCCTGACACAGGGAGGTAGTGACAAGAAATAACAATACAGGGCATCCATGTCTTGTGATTGGAATGAATAGAATTTAAACCCCTTTGTGAGTATCAGTTGCAGGGCAAGTCTGGTGCCAGCAGCCGCGGCAATTCCAGCTCCAATAGCGTATATTTGGAACAGGAACGCTGGAGCACTGGAATAGGAGCACATTGGAACACTGGATACCGAATGGCAAAAAGTACTTAGCCATCACGCAGCCTTTCTCCGCATGGCTTGCAAACCAAAGTTCCGTTCAGTCAACAGCTTGCATGCTTACATGGACCCAAGCTTGTCACTGCTGCGTGAATAGGAAGGCTAGGCATGCAACGTGCCCATTCGTCCGACACGTCTGCCAGTTCGTGGCGTTTGTTTGTCCATTGAAGGAAATGAGTGCTGCGAGGTGTTGGCAATGTTGAAACATACGCTTTGACGCTTTCAAGGAAAGCGATGCAGGACCGGAGGACTGAGGCAATGTACTCCATTGCGAGGCAGGTCACGGAGCAGGCAGCAGCACGATGCAAGCCCCCGCCTGCGTCGCTTGCAGAAGCGGGCTGGGGATCAAACAGACTTGTGCATCGTCATCGTCATCGTCATCGTCATCGTCCGCTTCATCAAATTGTCGTGCACAGATGAACATTATCATCATCACCATCATCACCATGATAATCCTCATCCATCACACACCATCATGATTATTATCATCATCATCATTATTTTCATCATCATTCATCATCGTCATCATCCATCATGGCCCTCACCTTCACCATCCTCATCATCATTGATCGTGACCATTATCACAGAGGTGATATCCATCATCCTCATCATAGGAATCAGCATCATCCACTACCATCAACCACCATGATCAGCGTGATGGATGGAGATCATTTGCGTGCGATGCCTAACAACAAAGTTGGACCGTCTGTTTTGTGATTTGTTGAAACGACAATGTGATTTAACGATGATGATGACAATGACGGATGATGAAGATTCTCACCATGGAGATGATGACGAGTGATGATGATGATTTTGATGATGATGATGATGATGATGATGATGATGATGATGATGATGATGATGATGATGCTGATGCAGAAGATGATTATGTTCGGTGGTGGTGCTGCTGTGGATGATGATGATGATGATGATGATGATGATGATGATGATGATGATGATGCATGGTTTTGATGGTGCTCATGATGACGGATGATGGCGATGGTGGAGGAGGAAGGTGATGATGATGATGATGATGATCCTCATTGACTCCATACTGGAACTTGAAATCATCCTGAAAATTCTTCGACTGTGGTTCCCAAATGCCAGCCCTTGCTATCCGGACTGGGGCACTGCAGGGTTGCGTTCTTGGCCAGCGGCCACTTACCCGGCGATCGTTCTCCACTGCGGAGCGTGGGGGGGGCGTGTGGGGGTGCGGGGTGTGAGGGGGTGTGCGGGCGTGTGGGGGGGCTGGGGGGTGTGTGGGGGGGCTGGGGGGCGTGTGGGGGCGCGCAGGGGTGTGTGGGGGCGTGCGAGGGGGGGGTGTGGAGTGCGGGGTGTGCGGGGGCGGGCGTGTGGGGGGGCTGGCGTGTGGGGGCATGTGGGGGCGCGTGGGGGCGTGCAGGAGTGTGTGGGGGCGTGTCATGTGGGGGCGTGGGGGCGCCATGATGACTGTCGCCGTAGCATCCTCTGTGCGCCGAGTGTTGACAGCGCAGGTGAAACGCACGCAAGATAGAGCTAAGAAGACTACAATTACGGTAACGATGACAATGATGATGACAGGTGATGATGGTGATGAACGATGACGATGCGTGATGATGATGATGGGTCATGATGATGGTAAGGACGGATCACGATGACGCTGGTCATCATAACTGATGATGATGATGATGATGATGATGATGATGATGATGATGATGATGATGATGATGCAGAAGATGATTATGACGAGGGTGATGGACGCTGATGATGGTGGAGGATCATGAAGGTTGCTGATGATGGATGATTTTCGGTGGTGGTGCTGCTGTGGATGATGATGATGATGATGATGATGATGATGATGATGATGCATGGTTTTGATGGTGCTCATGATGACGGATGATGGCGATGGTGGAGGAGGAAGGTGATGATGATGATGATCCTCATTGACTCCATACTGGAACTTGAAATCATCCTGAAAATTCTTCGACTGTAATTCCCAAATGCCAGCCCTTGCTATCCGGACTGGGGCACTGCAGGGTTGCGTTCTTGGCCAGCCGCCACTTACCCGGCGATCGTTCTCCACTGCGCGTGTGGGGGTGTGCGGCGTGTGGGGGCGTGGGGGCGTGGGGGGGGCATGTGGGGGTGCGGGGTGTGCGGGGGCGTGCGGGCGTGTGGGGGCTGGGGGGTGTGTGGGGGGGCTGGGGGCGTGTGGGGGCATGTGGGGGCGTGATGACTGTCGCCGTAGCATCCTCTGTGCGCCGAGTGTTGACAGCGCAGGTGAAACGCACGCAAGATAGAGCTAAGAAGACTACAATTACGGTAGCGATGACAATGATGATGTCAGGTGATGATGGTGATGAACGATGATGATGCGTGATGATGATGGGTCATGATGATGGTAAGGACGGACCACGATGATGCTGGTCATCACAACTGATGATGATGATGATGATGCGTAATGATGATCATCCGTGCCACGATGACTGTCACCGTAGCACCCTCTACACGCCAAGCGCTGCCAAACAGCTCAGTTGACGGACGACGACGATGATGATGATGATGATCACCATGATGGTGAGGATGATGATGATGATGATGATGATGATGCTGGGGATTGCCATGATGGCGATGATGGG